TGTATTTTCGTAAAAAAAAAATTTGAAGTATTTGGTTGTTTTTGAATTTTGTAATTTTAGAAAATTTGGGATTTTACAAATTTATTACTATTTTTTCCTTATATTTTTGAAATTTTATGGATTTTCTTTCAATTTGTTAAATTTTGTAAGTTTTAAATATTTTTGGATTTTTATTTTATATAAAAATAATTTCAAATTGATCTTCAAATTGATAAATATTTATCAAAAGACACCAATTTATAGTTTTTAATATCTTTACATATACTTAGTGTATGTCACGATTTATTATATAACAGTTTGTGTAGTTTATAACATATTTTTGCAAATAAACACTCTTAAGTGGCATTTTTTTGCAAATGTGCACATAAAAAATGGTATTTTTGTAAAGATTTCAAAAGTGTGGCATTTTTATAAAAAGACACTTGAAAAGTGGCATTTTTATAAAGAGGCACTTGAAAAGTGGCATTTTTTGAAATTTTTTTTTTTATATTTAGGATGGTTAGCAACATATTACCAATACTTGGATATTTAAGAATGATTTTTCAAAAAAAAAAAAAATTTGCTTACGTTGACAACAAACGCAGAACGCTAATTTAGTTCTAATCGCATAACCGCTTTAAACGTTTATAGAAAAGGCCAAAAAAAGAAGGTAACCTAAAACCCTAAACCCCTTCTTGTCTTGTTAGTTCTTCTTCTTCGTTCTGCGCCGCGTTTTCACTCTGACTCTCTCCATCTCAAATTCCTCCAACGCAAGCTTCTTCGATTCTCCCTCTCACACCAATTCGTGCTTCACCACCGTTTCGTGCTCTAAAAGGGTAAGCTTTCTTCTTCAAGGGTTCTGGGTCGATTTTCAGAGTAGCTCGTCTTAGGAATTAAGCAAAAGAGATTGTTAAACCTAATTTGTTCCGTTTCTATTGTAAATCACAGGTTTTAGAATACTATACCTTGATTAATTTGGGATATAATTTATCAAAGTTTTAGATTGAGAATCGGAATTTATCGACCTAGTTATTCAATCGTTGCTCGAGCTGACCTATAAATCCTATGTAGTCAAATGGGTAAGCTTGGGAAGAAAGCTAGGAAATTTGGCAAGAAAAATCTTCAATCTGTTGAGAAGCGAAATCGGAAGCAGAAGCCTTTTCTCAAACGGAAATTCGCAAAAAGTAAGTTTTTTTTTTTTGTGTCTCCTTGATTTTGTAGTGTATATCTTTATGATAGCTGATTGGTAGAGAATCAATGTCATTAACTTTTGCGGTTTAGGAGATGGACAAAGAGAAGGGAAAAATGTAGAGGAGAAGAAGAAGATAGAACCGCCACATAAGAAGAGGTAAAAGTACAATCTTTGTTACTCAGTAATCTGTTTGAGTTTCTTATTTTCTAAGTAGAATTTTGCTCTAATTCCTTTTTTTTTAACACTGAAATCATACATTTGCGCTACATCGATTTTTTTGTATATGGTTGATAGCTCGAAATTTTAGTCATGCGTAGCGTGAGATTGTTTCGCCTATATGTTTTCAGATGTATTGAAGAAAATCCTTGGGATATATTCATAGATGCGGTGTTCAGTAAGGACAAAAATGAAGCTCTCGACTATGGTGATTCAGATAGTGATGGATATCTGGCTGAGGTATTCTTTAACTTGGCGATTTTGTTGAAGTTTCTTTGTGATGGTAGCAAGTATTCACGATATTTTCGTATGTTCAGGACTCTGACTTGACAATTGCAGTTGTGAAGGGAACAGAAGGTAATGGATATACTCTATATTGTTTTGGCGTCATTTCCTTCCATTTCTTCCTTTACTGTCTGACTCAATAGAGTAATTTCCAGGTAAAATCAGTGATAATAAGATGTCGATGCAGAGCAAGGAGAGTCTGTCAGAACTTAAAAAACAGAGGAGGAAACTTGCTAAATTGAATGAAAAGGTAATACCTGTACTATTAAATTGCTGATACATTGTTGTACTATGTCAGGTTTTGTAACATGAACTTCTTGTTTATTCAGCAAAGTAAAGGTGAAGCTGTCGATCATCCAATGCAGTTGGTTGATGAAGGTGGCTCAGATATAATGAAGCGCAAAGTACTTTCCGGATCTGTTTTAAGCTCTTGCTGTGACCTAGTTGATGAGGAGCAGTCTGTTCAAGCATTAACTAGTTTGTTAAATTGGTATCGAGCTGCATGTCATTATGGCCAGGAACCATCAGGAATTACTAAGCCTGATATATACTATGACATAGAAGACAGTGAGACATTTGCCAATGTCATGATTTTTGTGCTCCAGAAAGCTGATCAGACTTGCAGGAATATGCTGGGAATATCAGGCACCAGTAATAAGGAGAAGATTTTGAAGTTGAAGAACAACCCAAAATGGGATAGTGTGCAACCACTGATCAAATCTTTCTTAAGAAGTACCATGCATCTTGTTCAGCATGGTGCAGATTTGGAGATAATAGTCTTTGCTCTTTCCCAGCTTAGAGTTTCTATCGTATTTTTTGCCGCATTTCCAGATTTGCTGAAAAAGTTGATCAAGGTACGCTCTTAATACACTCTGTTTATCATAAAGGAAAATTTGCTTATATACGGCTAGACTCATTAGCTAGTAAATTCTAGTATCTAGAGAGATGCATGAACAAGTCTTTGTTTACATACTTATAGTAGGCTTGAGTAAAAGATTTAGGTAATTTCATCTAATTGGCATTTTTTTCCAATGTTAAATTTGATATACCTTTTTTCTCGAAAGTCATGTTTTAATTGTGTAATTTGTGCAGATTTCTATTCATCTGTGGGTAACTGGTGAAGAGACTCTATCGCAGCAGACTTTTCTAATCTTGAAAGAGATCAGTATGGTTTTTAACTCAGAATGCTTCGACACCTGCTTAATCAACATGTACAAAGCCTATCTACATGAATGCGATATTCCAAAGGAATATTCAGAACAACATGTGCTGTTCCTCAGATATTCTCTTGTTGAGTTGTGCTCTCGAGATATGCAGAAGTCTTATACCAAGGCCTCTGTTTCTATTACACAACTTGCCAAGTTATTGAAGATGGCTCTCACTACAAAGAATAAGGTGCTTCTTAGTAATTGCATGCTCTTTTCTTCTACTTAAAGCTTTCTTCTTAGCCTCTTATCATTTTTTGTAAACAGGAAGCTGTCGAGAAGATACATAGTGGGCAGTACACAAATTGTGTTGATCTCTGGGTGAATTTTATCGCTGCCAACGTTCAGGATTGTGATCTCCAGCCTCTACTTTATACTTTAGTTCAGGTTATAAGTGGAGTTGCTAAACTATTTATTGGACCACGGTACCTGCTCCTAAGGATTAAATGTATCCAATGGCTCAATCAACTCTCACGAACAAGCGGTATATTCATTCCGGTAGCATCGTTGGTATTGGATATGTTGGAATATAATACCACAAATGAAGGTGAAAAGCAACGAATGAAGCTTGAAGCTGTTTCAACCGTAAAGGTTTGAAATTACCACCATAAAGGCTCTGCAGTAGGAATAAATTTTAGATTTTCAATTTATGTCATCCATGTGTAAGCTAATAGATTCTTTGTTTCACATATGGTTGCAGCTACCAAAGAATTGGTTAAAGTCCCAAAATTTTCAAGAGCGGTGTATCTTTTCCGTAATTGAACTGCTTGCTGGCCACTTTGCTCAATGGAGCTTCCACATATCATTTCCAGAGCTTGCTACCATTCCAGTCATGAGGCTAAAGAAATTTATCGAGAGAAGCACTATGGAAGGGTTGAAGCGTGTGGTGAAACGCTTTATCGATCAGGTAATTCGTTTGTTGGATTGTATCAACCTACCTACCTTATGCTTCTGTGGAAAATCAAGAATCTTGGCTTGAATAATTCTTCTTTTGTAGGTAGAGTTGAATATCGAGTTTGTGCAAAGGATGAGAGACGATGCGGCGTTCTCTCCAAACGATCAACAATCTGCAGAAACGTTTCTGCAGCTTGAAAAGCGGAGTACGAATGCTCCTTATACACAATACTATCAAAGCATCGTAGAGAAAGCTCTTGGAACAAAAAAGAAGAAGTGAGGTAAGTGTATGTATTATGTAGTTTTGGCAACACTAATCTGTTTACTCAGACATTTGATGAATC